TGATAACTATGACACGAATATATGTAAACAATAATACACTTTATCAATAATGATAGTGTCTGGACTAGGACAGCATGGATGCTGCTGGACACACGAGAGCAAATAGAACAAAGGAATCAATGTAAATTATCATTTTCACTTGAGTGACTAAAACACAAATCATATTATAAATTATAATTTAATATGTATGCATGTAATACGAACGGTGTGTTCGATCGGGATGAAGAAATAACAACTTACGGTCGTCGTCGCTGCTGTAAAATAGTAGTCACGCTGAATAAATAATGTACATATACTTTCGACTATTCGACTATAGGCTGTAAGCCAATATATATTTATTTTTTATATACAGGATGGTTCAAAAATCAGTATACTTGTCTTCTTTTATTCATCAATAATGCAGTTATTAAAACTAAATTTTTGTTATTTTAGAATTCTCGATATTATTTCGTACTACTTAAGATTTGTCTTGAAAACTTCTGTTTTTCAAATGAGGACCACTTTTCCAATATTAAATGTTTAGCAAATAATTTATCCTGAAAATGTTGACGCATGAAAATCAAAATTCAAAACAGTAGTTTTTAAATTATTTAACTTAAATTAGGTACTAAAGATGAAAAGGATAAGTTTGGAAGATATGTGGGTTATAATGGTGATTTTAAAATCTTAGATTTTTGTAAGACCGTTTCTAAGGACTATATTATTCTTATTATAAATGACTGAAAGAACTACTCATTAAAATTTTAAATAAAGCATATCAAAATTTTCAAAATAATTTACAATAAAAAGAGGGATTTTTATTTTATAAACAGAAGTTTGCATCATCATAATAGACACTCCTTTAGCAGTAAGTTAAACAAATCTTAAGATTTAAAAAAAATGGTCTTTATATTATATGATATTTGAAATTTGAAAAATCAAAATTCGRGTAAATTAGTTATAAAAGGACAAATAGGGTTGGTGGTATGATTGAAGAATCACCCTGTAGTTGACATACTACATAAATATACGAACACACACTTCGACAACCATCGCGTGGTATACTGCAATCCGGATATAACGTGATGGGCAATTTGTTTTTATTTCCTAAAAGATTTATGTGGCGACGTTTACGATATATTTAACCACTATTGAGAATGCAGAATCCGACCTTAAATCTTTTTTTTAATCCGGAAACGCTCACAAATGTTTAATACATATAATAGTTTAAATTCATATTATATGCGTATATAGCGTATGAATGATACGTCACGCTTATACAAATCGGATATTTTAGATTTTATTTTTRTAATTTATGGCTACGACTATGTCCGAACTAAATATTTTTGATTTCCCCAATAGCGTTTTATTTCGTCTTTTTATTCAAGTTTTGATTTTAGATACATATTTTTGATTTTTTAAAGTGATAATTAAAAAAACTTCACTGCTTCAAAAACCTTGGAAATTTAAAACAAAATCCCTCATATAAGTTTTAGTTTTAGCCATTTGAAAATTTAAAAGATATTTTTTTTGGATATTTAAATTTGAGATTTGAACGACATTTGAAATTTAAACGGGGAATAACTATTGTACTTATGACTAGTTTTGTATCTTTGTCRGTTATATCATGTACAGACTTTTACATTACCTCACATAGAAATGTCAGTAAATATTACATCATATATGTATAGTACTGGTGCAGAAATGCCTAAAAACTCACCACAATATTTGGAAAGAAAACATTTTTTGGCTTATATACAATAAACATATTAGTGTTATACGGTACAATAAATAAATATTATAATTGTTCATATTATATGCATAATATGATGGAATTTTTTTTAAAAATTCACTTGAAAAAATTGTTTTCCAACTTCAGATTATAATAATATAAGCGTGCAGATATACCTATACCTATATTGCGGTGTTCGACGTTCAAGTCTCCGCATCCCGACCCTAATAGATATTTATTTTTTTTCGTTTTATTGATTAAATAATATAGTTACAATGAGTATATTAATTATTTAATTTACCCCATTAAAMAGAGCTTGTGGCGAGGTAAATGAGTTGTTAGAATACAATAAAAAAAAAATCTATATAG